TTATATTCAATGGCGTGGTTATACAGATTTATTATGGATGAGCCTTGGATTGGAACTATTATCAATTTTTACCGTTATTTTCTTTTTAAAATCAACACATAGTTCAACGTCAGTTGATGAAACTACAGCTCTACTATCATCATCGTCAAATGATGTACATGTCACGATTAGGACACCTACCATATCTAAATTTTACCATTGTTTTGATATTTGTACAGTATTTAATTTTAGACATTATTCGAAAAAAAAATCAATTAGTCTTATTTTAATCATTATTTCCTATATGTTTCATTTATTGGCATTATCATCATTGTCTACAATGCTTTGGTATCTTCTTGGTGCTCCATTCTGTTGGACATCGAAAGATCTTGGTCAATTTTCTGCAGTATCATTGATTGCTACGGCTATTTTTAATGTACTAGGCATGAAAATATTGAATTATATTGGAGCAAACGATGCTATAATATGTATTCTTAGTCATATTTGTTTCGGTATTTATTCATTATGGATTTCATTAGCTCAATATGGTTGGCAATTATATCTAGCATTATTAATTAATCCATTTACGAGTTATCAAAGTGTATTGACAATACCAATGATATCTAAATGGTTAGAAGTTCATGAACGTAATAATGTTTTTACATTAGTAACAGAAATAAATACAATTATTGTAGCTTTTGGAGGTTCATTATTCAATTGGATCTATGCTCGAACAGTAACTTATCAAAAAAATTTTACATTATTATTGGCTAGTGGAATTTGTATTATACCTTGTATTCTCAATATGTAAGTATTTATTCTTCTGTAAAAAGAAATATTTATTGATTTATTTCATGAATAGATGTCTTTTCATGATTAGTCGACGAATTTCCAATGAACAAGAATTGACTCTTATATCAGAAATAAATGCAGAACCAACAACTTTGCTACTATCGAATAATATACCTCCGCAGGCTGTTGATATAACTTGTTTAATTCAACTACCTCGTTCACGTACTCATTCTCTCTGTACATTACACAACGATAGATCTCATGCTAATTCTAACTCTTCAATCAATAGTCGAAGTGATTTACTAGTAATCATATAATTTGTTCTATTCTTCTACGCCGCTATTTGTCAAAATTGACAATAAACAAATTCATTATTAAATTGCAAAAAAAACTTTTTATTTTGTCTTTTTTTTTTGTATAAAAAGAAGGGTGTGGGTGTGGGTGCATCGAATGAACAATATACTCACGCCCACATCCACACCCATATCCCTATGGGCGCCTACAAATAAGAAATCTTAGCGAATTTTGATTTTTTTTCCATAATAAAATGTCTCGACGCTGGATCTAAAGTTTATACTTTCTGTCACAATTATCTTGCCAATGGTTTGAGGTCTGATGACCATCCCAACGCGAACACAAACTTCTTGATGGTGAAATACTCCAGATGTTTCTTTTATTTGTCTTCCGTGAGTATCCCAAAACAACAAAGCCTTGCCGACTTTCTGGTTTCTTTTGTACTTGATCGGTGACTAGGTATAGAAACCAATACGATTATTTCTCTTCGATGAATAAATAAATTCGTTCAAAAACTCCTACTGCGTTTGATATATATATTTTTTCTACAATTTGTAGACAGGCTATAGATCTTACTTCCTTGGATGGCAACAGAAAATTATCAATGCAACTGTTATGTTTCATGCGAAAATGCATGTATCGACTTTAACAATGATGGATTGTCTGATTTATTGGTATCATGCAGAGTTGAAATCGGCAGTTCGGTGGCATTTCCATATGGCGAACTGTAATCAGACCAAATATTGACGAATCTTTCATGCGAAGATGAGCACTACTTTACATTCTGGTAGGCTATCGAGGACCATACCAGAAATCGAGGCATCGGTCATATTTTTATTTTCTCGATGCGATATGTGCATCTAAATCATCGATGTGTGACACGTCTGAAGGGAGTGGGTGTGGATTTGGGTAGATGTCTATGTAGATGTGGACGTCGGTGAATATACACCGCAAGTAGACCACACCCACTCACACCCCACTCCATGCTCTGACTCGATGATTTGATTTATTGTAGTTTGGCGATAGTATCTGAGGTATATATTTGTAGATTGCTAGACTAATTAATAAAACATTTGCCTATTGCTGTACTTTATAGTCAATATCCAATATTTTTGACCCTCTTACATTTCGACATTCTACTTTTCGATATTTTTGATTTCCAACATTCTGATAATATTACTTGTGATGACAAAGAAATCATAGTGATAAAAAAAAAAACTTTTTTTTTTAGATAGTGCTGATATACAGCCACGAACAAAGTTTATAAAGTTTTCTTTATTTTATTTTATTTTCTGACTTGAATATAATACACTTAAAACAAATTTTCTAGATTGCACAATATAAAAAAAAAAAAAGACGAATAGTTTGTATGGCAGCAATGGTATTTAATTCTTATAATTACGTGGATTAAGAGCATCAAGTACTTGATCGAGATCACCTTTTTTTGATTTAATAAGTTCAGTTAGTACACCATTTGAATTTACAAAACCCATCGATATCATTCGTTCAATACATTCATTAATTTTCTTCTGTTCTTTAACTTGTTGATCTTCAGTTGGACTAGTTGTTGTTTGTGGTTGAAACATCGGAGCAAACATAGTTTGAAGTTGTTCAAGTAAATTACCTAATGGTGGAAGATTAGTCGAAGCTGAAGTTGATGCTGCTGTTGCTGAAGGAGCAGTTGGTTTTGGTTCTGTACTAGTATTATTATTTGTTGTTGTTGTTTCTTCTTTTTTCTCTTTAGGTTTACCTTCTTCAGTTTGCTTATCAACAGAATAATCACAATTAATACCAAAAGATGAAAGAAGTCCATGAAGAATTTTACCAACATTTTCAAGAAGAATTGTTTCATCAACAGGTTTATCAGCTTGTTCACCTGTTTTAAATTGATTAAGCATTTCATTTATTTTTTCCGTACGTAAATATTCAGGTATATGAACTTCAATAAATTCAGCTAATTCTTTACACTTGAATTGATTAAGAAAATTAGTTATATCGAATGGAACATGAAAGGCAGCAGGAGCACATTGTTGTCGCATAAAATGATGCCAAAAGCGAGAATTACCACCGAAAGATTCTCTACGTCCACCACATCGATGATGTCCACCGAATAAACGTTGAGAAGGTCGAGTCAATTTTAACATATTATGTTCGGAATGAAGATTTTTATCTGAACATATTTGACAAAGATCATAATTTCGACATTCTAAACATCTGAAAAAATGATCACACAAAACTAAAGAGAAATATTTCAACTATGGAAACTTACTTATAACGATTACCAATCACAGGACCTTGACAACCATCACAAGTAACACCAACATGAATTATTGTATTTTGATTTGATTCTTCATTTTTTCTCAATTTGGTTTAACAAAAATTTTGATGACGCCACCAGCAGAAATGTTATTTAAAGCTGATAGCAATTCACTATTAGATGAAAATGTAATACGATCATTATCTTCATCTATATATTGTAAAGTAAATTGACCTTGAAGATAATCAGTATTTAACCCTTTATACCCTGACGCTAACCTGGCAGAGCTGGTGTTGAGGCGATCATACCAACAGAGCATACGACCACTCAATATGACACTGGTATAGTCGGATTCGAGCGACCTCTTTTTACTGTTTAAGATGCAGAATGGGTCAAAAATGACCCATTCGTCTTCAATGACATAAAAATTATACTTTCTATTGATTTGTTTTTTTTTACATTTTTTCACCATTGTGTGCTTATCTATCTAAATATAGATGGAAGTTTTTTCATATTAAGATTTTTTTCCAGGATAATAATTATTTTTTAGTATAACATATGATAAAGTTCTGTTTTATTATAGTCAAAGTTTTCAATGAAAAAAAAAATCACGATATCAACATCTACACATTACACATATCTATTCATTTTTTGGAATGATAATCTTTAAAACAATTACGTGTTACATTAAGACATAGATGTACTTGACATTTAGTACAATAGATGTTCGATTTCATTGAGCATCTGTCATTTTTACATCGAAGACGTATATTTCGTTGTACTTCAGGCCAATGTTCAATACCATCTAGACGAACCATACTTGAAACACTAGAACGTGTTTCCTTCTTTTTTCTTTTTGGTGGATTAAGAATATTTTCATCATCATCTGATTCTGATGATTGATAATGCGTTGTTGTTGATGATTGATAATGTGTTGTTGTTGATGATTGATAATGTGTTGTTGTTGATGATTGTAATATTCGACGTTCAATAGATCGTGATTCACGTAACATTGTATTGGCAATTGCCATTTTGAAATAAAATAAACGAGTGCTTCTTGAATTTTGATCATCAGTATTTGACATATATTTCCATATTATCCAGGAATTGATAACCATCATGTCAATTAAGCGCCATGCAATAGGCATATACCATTTTTTTGATTTGAATGGTATGGGATGTAAAGAACATAACATGTTCATCTTGTCCACCCCACCTCTGTTTTTATTATATATTTGAATTATCTGTGGTGTATCAATTGGAATTTTTTTATTTTCTTCTTTGCTCCATCTTGATAATTGAGTAATTGGTTCAACACCAACTGAATTTGATCCAATTAATACACGACGATTATCTTTCCAGGCAACTATTATATTTTTCTTATCAGCAGAAACTAAATAATCATAATATCCTCTTGGTTTTTTTTTCATATTTTTTTCTGATTCAACTGGACAATTTTTAATACGACTTGATCTCAATGTACATGTTAATCCATAACCAAGAATGCTCATTTTATTTAATAATGTTAATGATCCAAAATAATTATCAACAAAAACATGTGAACCTTTTGGTACACCTTCTAATAAATCAATCACTATCATTCCTGAACGACCATAATGTTTTATATCATCATATTGTTGATCTAATTTTTCATTTTCTTCATCAGTTTGATATTTTGAACGTGTTTCAGGTGCAAATGAAGTTGTTGTACGACGAGATAAATTTACTGGTGCAACAGGTGTACTTCCACTAGCACCTCGATATAATTTAACTTTATAAGTAAATGCTGATACACCAGATAAGCACCAAAGTTTAAATCCACGTCTGATCGGTTTCTTTGGCATGTATTGTTTGTAATTCTTCGGTGCTGTTTTACCTTTAAATCGAATAATTTGTTCATCAATTGAAATATTTTGTTCTTGTCGAATTACTGAATCACATTGTTTATTAAATAAATGGATTAATGGTTCAATTTTATCACATGATTGTGTTTGAAGATTATTATCTCCAAAATGTAATGAACGTAGTAATTGAAAAATTCTATCTCTAGTTATATTTTTCATTACTATATCAGGACCAAATGATGTTGACCAATAGTCAGATTTACGAGGTAATTTATATAATGATGAGTAAAATAAAAATCCAATTAAACGATAAAGATCTTGATTGGTCATCGGCGCTTGTTTAAAATTTTGTTGTGTATGATATAAATTAGATTGTTGAACAATATGATCAACTATTTCTTGAGTGAAGAACAAATTGAAAAAATCAAATGGTGATGGATATTTTGGTAAATGAATACTATCTTTTAACATGAATCGTCCTTCAAAAGGTGGTAAATTTGGTTCAAAATTTGTTGTCCGTGACCAAGAAATGTTTTTATGATCAGTTGATACCATATTCACATCAATTTCATCTGTATCAACAATAGAATTATCACTATCATTATCAACTTCTGAATCAATTTCCATTTTATCATGAATATTATTGATTTCATCTGTATCAGAATCTAATGAATCACCTGCATCATCTTCAGATAAAACTTGATCGATATTTAAACTATATAAAATATCTGAATCTGATGAAAAGGTTGAACCACTATTGTCCTGAGACATTATCTGAAAAAAATAGAACCATATACATTTGGATAAAATATGAAATGCTATGATAAAGTAGATGGAACGTTTGTGTTGACTAAATGTGAACGACATAAATGAGTAAAAGCACTATAATTTGGAAAAAAAACAAGATATGTAAAGATACAAAACATGAAAAGAAAGAGAAAGAGAAAGAAAGAAATTGAGAATTTTCTTCTTAATCGTCCAGATCAATATAGAAAATGTATTTAGAATGTATACAAGTAAACAAAAAAGAAAGCCAATGAAAGAAGCGGAAGAGAATCATAATCCATATCACCGTGGAGGGGTTTTGAAGGGTAGGTTCCCGGAAAATAAAAATAGCATATTCGGATTCAGCGTGGTCAATTACCCCCGTCCCCGTTGAGATCTCGAGAGGGTACCTCTGACCGTAAGCCAAAAAAATTTTGACAAAATTCAATGGAAAAATAA